CCCCCCCCATGTACTAAGTTATTGCATAGACAGTTTGGGCCTCAACTAAGTGAATACACCATGATAGCTATACTTAGATGTAGCCACTGCAGTGGCAACAACGAACGACAGGTCTTGGACGACGATGCACAGTCTGCCCCCACAGTGTGGTGGACATAGGACGGTGGCATGCGGGTAAAGTAGGTTAAGGTGATAATAGCCTTTAATAGCATCCAGCAAACTCTCTCCTGCCTCCCCCATCTGGACTCGGTACCAAGACTGAATGAAAAGGACCAGAGGTAGAATTGAGCGCTCTGGCTAAAAAGGCTAAACTATCCGTACACGCATGCCACGCACGCCTGTTCTGCACAAGAGGGACCAGGTTTTCGCAGAAATATTAGAAGGACGGCACGAAACTCAACTGAGTGAGAATGCCATAGAGACGACATCAAGAAGGCACCATTGCCTGAGCCTGATCCCTCGTCTTAAGAGAGAAACCGAGCTGTCCAGACCACGAATTGTGCGCATGGTGATAGCTGAAGAACGTAGCAGAATTGCTTATAGCAAGTAATATGCGCCGACTGTCGTCGGGACGGAGTCCTCAAAATCGACCTCACTCTCTACCTTCTCTATCACAGGCACCAGTTCATGGTTCAAGCCGGTAGACCATCTGACGCGGGCATTTGCGCAGTTGGTTGACGCGCCGTGAGCCTGCGCCTGGGCGTGACACCACATCTTCCTCATGTGTGGCATTTGTTTTAGGTATATGGTCAAAATAAAGCGCGCCACATCCGAATCTGACCCCCTGTGCTAGTTCGGTGTTTCTACCACTTGGTCTGTTGTAGGGATACCCGACAGTTCGACCGTCGCTCTCGATGATGCCCACCGCGAGTTTTAGCCTGCTAAAGGCAGACGCGATGATTATGGCTGGATTATAGTGAAAGTAGACTCGCCGGATCTACCCCACTCTCTCACCACCCCCACATCTGTACCCGATGTCAAGACAAGAGTCAGAAAGACCGGAGATGGGGGGAGGGCGCATGCGGCTGGCGCGACCAACACTCAATACACGTACCAACAGTACACCTTGCCGGGTAGGCTCTCG